CTGCAGAGAGGTGGCAAACGAACACCTGCACAATCACAGCAGCCCTTCGAGTAGGGAACCGACAATAAAATTAATCCACCCCGAGTCTGACTCCCTCCCCGAATCAACAGGAGAACATACACTGCTTAGTAGATATACGGACAGTCAGGTGGGTTTTTTGTAGAGTCGACGGAAGAACAATTTCGGGGTAAATCAATTATGTAGTCGATCCCCTACTCGAATCCTGAGGTCCGCGCGGTTTCTTAGATCGGCGCTACCCCCCCCTACGCCACGTAACTGTGCACACAAACACCCGCTGACGAGTTCTTCCAGAGCCCCTTCAGGGAGAGTGGAGGTGTATAAAATCGCTGGCCCTCAGTTGTACTTATACACCCCCACCCTCCCCTGAGGCCCCGGAAGGATCCACTGGGGGTGTCTATGTATATCAGAGTGAGGGGGCCGAACGGTCATTCATTGTCCCTGGGTGCGTGGCTAAGATGAGAATCCGTGGTGAAGATTCTGCGTGTTGCGTTGTGGTTGTTGTTGTTGTTGTTGTTGTTGCGTTGTGGTTGTGGTTGTGGTTGTTGTTGTTGCTGCTGCTGCTGTTGTTGTTGTTGTTGTTGTTGGTCGTGTGGTTGTTGTTGTTGCTGCTGCTGTTGTTCCTGTTGAGTGGTAACTACTGAACAATTAATATTGTTGGAACCCTGAAAGGCGCCCTGGCGCTCTCGCCGCCGGAAACCGCCGCCGCCCCGACAAAACCAGCGCACCCGCCCGAGACTTTCTTCCGTTTTACGCTGGACTGGCGCTCAACTCTTTTTTGAATTGGCGCCGCTCCCAGCAAGAACAACGCTCCCGCTCGAGGTTTCCTCCCTTTTTCCTGATGACGGTGCTGGTCCTCGCCGCCGACAGCCCCCGTCCCGACAAAACCACTGTTTCCGCTCAATGCTTCCCCCCTTCTTACTCAAGGCGGTGTTCCTCCTCGCCGCCGAAAACCGCCGCCCCGACAAAACCAGCGTTCCCGCCCGAGACTTCCTTCCGTTTTACGCTGGACTGGCACCATACTCTCTTTTGAATTGGCGCCGCTCCCAGCAAGAGCAACGCTCCCGCTCGAGATTTCCTCTATTTTTCCTCGGGACGGTGCTGTTCCTCGCCGCCGACAGCCCCCGTCCAGACAAAACCACGGCTCTCGCACGATGCTTCCTCCTTTCTTACTCAAGGCGGTGTTCCTCCTCGCCGCCGAAAGCCGCCGTTCCAACAAAACCAGCGCTCCCGCTCGAGACCTCGTTCTGTTTTACGCTGGACTAGCGCCCTACTCTCTTCAGCATTGGCGCCGCTCCCAGCAACAACAGCAGCCCTGCTCGAGACTTCCTCCCTTTCTATTCAGTGCCAGGTCCTTGCCTCACCGCCGACAGCCCCCATCCCCACCAAGGCAATCCTGTCGTTCGATACTTCCTTGTGCTTTACCCTTCGCTGGGGTTCCACCGGCGGTCTCGCATCGGCGCAGCAAAGCGCGGGCATTTGTTTTCGAGGCGGGACATGTTGAAATTCCTCGGAGGAGGTGTTTGCAAAACCTCATTGGGTGGGAGATCTGGGAATGGGAATAACGGACCCCACTATAGAACACGAGTCCCCCATCCCCATGATGTGGATGGTTACCATGATGGTCGCGTGGAAACATCGCGCATGAGGGTAACATGAGTGTTGTTGTTGCTTTTGTTGTTGGTATTGCTATTGGTGTGACTGTTCTTGGTATGGTTGTTGCTGTTGTTGCTGTTGTTGTTCGTGGTATTGGTGTTGTTGTGGTTGTTGTTGTTGTTGGTGTTGGTGTTAGTGTTGTTGTTGATGTTGTTGTTGTTGATGTTTGTGTTGCTGTTGTTCAAATCTCACGCCAGAAGAACTATTATTGTTGATCCCCCCGTCCGGTGCACATTGTTCTTTTTCGATTGAAGTGCCCTTCCCGGGGCTCGCACCTTGTTTTTAAACAAGAAAAATCTTGAGGATCAAACTGTGTCGTTGGCCCCCGGTTTGCAACAACAGCGGCTCCCGCCTGAGACTTCCTCACAATTTAGCCAGGACCCCCGCTCCCGCCCGAAACCTCCCGCGTTTTATTCCGGAATCGCGCTCTCGCTGGGGACTTCCTTAGAATTCATTATCCAGGCGCTCTGGAGTCGCGCTGTCGCTGGAGACTTGCCTGCAATCTACTAAAGAATAGCGCCCTTGCGTTGGAATTTCCTGTAATTCACTCAAGCGCCGCGCTCCCGACACCCAGACACCCAGGAGTCGCGCCCCCAAGAGGCCCCCAAGAGGCCCCCAAGAGGCCCCACGAGGCTCCAAGAGGCCCCCAAGAGGCCCTACGAGGAGCCCGAACGACTCACATCAGGACGAGGGGCCCGAACGACTCACACCACGAGGAGCCCGAACGACTCACACCACAAGGAGGGGCCCGAACGACTCACACCAGGACGAGGCGCCCGAACGACTCACACCACGAGGAGCCCGAAGGACTCACACCACGACGCGGGCCCCGAACGACTCACACCACGAGGAGCCCGAACGAGTCACACCAGGAGGAGGGGCCCGAACGACTCACACCAGGATGAGGGGCCCGAACAACTCACACCACGAGAAGCCCGAACGACTCACACCAGGACGAAGAGCCCGAACGACTCACACCACGAAGAGCCCGAACGACTCACACCAGGAAGAAGGGCCCGAACGACTCACACCAGGACGAGAAACCCCAAACGACTCAAATCACGAGGAGCGCTTTCTCTCCCTCCTCCTCCGCCTCGTCCTTCTCCCGCTCCCCTCACAAGGAGGATGTACAAGAAGGCGGGAGGAAGGAGGAACAGGGGAGATATGCGGGGCCAAGCGGACACACGCCTGAAAAACACGACTGTCGGCATGCTTCGCGAGAGTTGCTGCAGTGAGATGGGCTGGTGGGGATACGCGAAGCGTAAAGAATTTCCTGTAATTCACTCAAGCGCCGCGCTCCCGACACCCAGACACCCAGGAGTCGCGCTCACGCTGAGGACTCCCTTACAGATTACATAAGAATCGGGATCTCGCTGCCCTTCGTGGCCCCGTTGCAGCCCTTCGTGGCCCCCATCGCTTTGTTTCGTGGCCCCGTTGCAGCCCTTAGTGGCCCATTCGCTGCCCTTCGTGGCCCCGTTGCAGCCCCTCGTGGCCTCCTCGCTGCCCTTCGTGGCCCCGTTGTAATCCTTCGTGGCCCCCTCGCTTTGTTTCGTGGCCCCGTTGTAATCCTTCGTGGCCCCCTCGCTTTGTTTCGTGGCCCCGTCGCAGCCCTTCGTGGCCCCGTTGCAGCCTTTCGTGGCCCCCTCGCTCCCCGTCGTGGCCCCGTTGCAGCCCTTCGTGGCCCCCTCGCTGCCCTTCGTGGCCCCATATATGTCTGCCATTCGTGGCCCCCGCTCGTTCGCGCCCGTGGTGGCCCCATATGCTTCTGTCCTACGTGGCCCAGTTGCTACCCTCAGTGGCCCCATCGTTGCCTTCTGTGGCCCCGCATTATCTGCCCTTCGTGGCCCCCGCTCGTTCGCGCTCTTCGTCGCCCCATACGCATTATCTTCGTGTCCCCGCTGTTGCCCTTCGTGGCCTACTTCGTGTCCTTGTGGCCCTGCTGTCGTTCTCTTCCGCTCTCGCTTTCGCTCGTCGTCGTCGTCGCCGTCGTCGTCGTCGCCGTCGTCGTCGTCGTCGTCGTCGTCGTCGTCGCGGTCGGTCCCCTGTCCGTCCCTCTTGGGGTCGGGTCGACGGTCCGCGGCCGCCCCGCCGATCAGCGCTGCCGCTGGCCACGCCGACGGTCCACGGCCGCCCCGCCGCTTGCCGGGGCCCGGCCTGCAGGGAAGGAAGGTATACCCCCCAAAAGGGGTTCGATCGAAGACGAAGAGGGCGGGTATCGAGGGTTTGGGAAATAGGCGTTATTGGACACTCGAGCAGATAAGGGCGAACAATTGTTTAAAATGATTGTTGTTGTTGTTTTTATTGTTTGTTGTCGTCGTCCTTCCCGCGACCCACCCGCGACCCACCCCGCGACCCACCCGCGACCCACCCCGCGACCCACCCGCGACCCACCCGAGACCCACCAGCGACCCACCCCGCGACCCACCCGCGACCCACCCGCGACCCACCCGCGACCCAACCGCGACCCACCCGCGACCCACTTGCGACCCGGCCCGCGACCCACCCGCCACCGTCGACCCACTTGCGACCCAACAAGTGACCCACCCACATTGTTTTCGCAAAAAAACAAATTGCGCCTGCGGCGGGCTGGCTTCATAGCTAGAAAAAGTATGCGCCTGCGACTAGCTTCTTCAGAGCCTCGCAGACTGCCAAACACCCGCCGCCCCCTCACTCTTATCCGCAACTGCGGGGTGCTACGCATTTCTGTGGCGCCCCGTCTCCAGCCCCCCCATGGAGGCGGAGGACGAGGAGGAGGAGGAGGAAGAGGAGGAAGAGGAGGAGGAGGAGGGGGGGGAGGAGAAGGAGGGGGTGGAGTAGGAGGAGGAGGAGGAGGAGGAGGAGGAGGAGGAGGAGGGTCCAGCTCCGCTCCAGAGATGCGCGCGGACCTCCGAAAGATTGTGCCTGTGCCGTTGGCTTTCCTCACTGTCCTGGGCGATGCCAATCTTGAAGACGCAGGCCTGGAACTCCTCGAACACGGAGTCCTTGTTCAAGGCCTCGCAAGGCGTCGCGTACCAGTCCGGGTGGGCGTTGATTCCCTCCGTCATCGCCCACACGACGTCGTCGTAGCAGTCCTCTCCCTTCAGGGCGGTGTGGCATTCGATGCCGCCCGCCGCCCCCAGGGTCACTCTGTCGCCTGTCAGGAGGCCGTCGCAGTGGCCACCAATCCAAATCTCGCCACGCCCGCCGTGACCCATCACTCCCCACACACAGGGAGGCCGATCAGAAAGAGGACCACGGGCCCGATCCTGCGCACGCCGATGAAAAACCGATGAGGACTGCAGCCTCGCCGTTCGCTTATGATGTGACTCTGATGCCTCAGAGATAGC